TGATACTTGTTATTGAAAGAATCAATCACACAACGTTCTCACGTTATGTTAGTTTTTCTCTTGGCTTAAATCCCAACATTAAGAGGCTTTCCTAATGTGTCCATTTGACATTAGTTTTTTCTTAGCTTAATCCCCAGCATTAAGCATTTCGCAACGTTGTTGTGTGATGTTAATTTGTTAACTTAAATCCCAGCGGTAAGCCTTTTGCAACTTGGTCCACCCAGTGTTGTTAATTTTTCTTTGCTTAAGTCCCAACATTAAACCTTTGCAACGCCCCCCCACGTGATGTTAATTTTTTTTTAGCTTAAACCCCAGAGCATTAAGCCTTTGCAACGCTCTCCACGTGATGTTAGTTTTTTTAGCTCAAACCCCAAAGCATGAAGTCTTCGCAACGCGCTCCATGTGATGTTATTTTTTAGCTCACACCCCAAAGCATCAAGTTTTCATAACGTTCCCCATGTGACGACGTTATTTTCTCTTCTAGCTTAAATCCCATCATTAAGCCTTTCCCAGTATGCTCTGTGTGATGAGATTATTTTTTTCTTAGTTTAAACCCTACCTTTAAGCCTTTTTCTGTCAGGTTAAGGTCAGTACTCAGTTCCATAAAGATATGTTTACTGAGAGATCATGTAACTTGGTTTTAATTTGAGGCTAGCTTGAAACTAGGGCAGTTGCCAAAGCTATAGCTAGTTTTCTATCCATCTGTGTTTGCGTCTCGATAATTCTCCTCAGTCCCCTTTTCTTCCCATTCAGAGGATCTTCTTTGGATTTTCATCTTTTCCAGAACAGAGATGAATATTGTTGCCCTGATATATTTATTTTTTCCGAATTTGATGCCACCTTGTCTCTTCTTTTCTTTGTAACAGAATCTGGGCAAATAGGCAGTCTGCTGCTAGGTCAAAGGAAAGAAAGATGCGATATATAGCTGAGCTTGAACGGAAAGTGCAGACGTTGCAAACAGAAGCAACATCACTCTCTGCCCAGCTGGCTCTATTACAGGTAGTTTCATCAGCTCAGCACTCTCTCCTTGTGTGCGATCTAAATGTTGTGAAATATAGCAGGCCTTCACGTCCTTTTGTTTTCATTTTATTTTATTTTATTGTGTTATTTTAATTTATTTATATTTAATGATTCATCTGATTCTTATCTGGTAACTTATGAGCAGAGAGACACCAATGGTATGACGGCTGAAAATAGTGAGTTGAAACTGCGGTTGCAAACAATGGAGCAACAGGTTCATTTGCAAGATGGTGAGCACCTCTTCAAAATATTTTTTGAAAACACTGGTCAAGTTCAACACCATTCTTTCTTGGCTAGACTATAAACTCCTGTATGCAATTGATTACATGGCTCAGAACATAAATGAAATTTATTATTCCTATGTTATTGAGTGGCTCTCGATCTAGGTTTTTCCAACTTTCGGCTTTGCGTATCAGTTATGAATATAAATGCTTCCTGTTCTATTATGAACACCAAAGTTATGATTGAGCTAATTCCACTGTTTCCTATATTGATGGATTTATCTTTGTTTCTGTTGTTTGATAGCATTAAACGATGCACTGAAAGAGGAAATCCAGCACCTGAAAGTAATGACTGGCCAACCTATGCCGAATGGTGGACCAATGATGAACTATGCATCGTTCGGAGCTAATCAACAGTACTACTCAAATAATCAGGCTATGCATACCCTCCTAACTGCACAGCAGTTTCAGCAACTTCAGATTCAATCGCAGAAACATCTGCATCCATTCCAGCCGCATCAACTACACCAACAACATGATCAGCCACAACATCAGACGGGGGACACGGGAGTTAGAGGTTCCATGGCATCCCCCAATCACATAGATGCTTCATCTGATGTCAGCTCGACAGCATCAAAGGATTGATGAGTTATATATGCCCATAAGACCAGGTATTTATGGGCATTATATATTTTTAGATGGGACATATATTTCCTTTCCTTCTATTTCTAGGTTGTTATATTTAATTCTAGCTGGAGATTGGCCTAAGATTTATATATAATATCATCTGGTATAGTTTACCGTTTCTGAAAATCGACCGATTTATATCCGTTTCTGAAAATCCTCCGATTTATATCCATTTCGTTGCTTTTATCACTTATCTTGATTGGCTGAGTTGAGGCCATAAGATTGGTATGAGCTTGTCATGTGCTATGTTATTCAGATTCGAGCTTGTCACTTTCTTTTTGGAGTCGTATCTTCATACTAATGCCCGAACATATATTGGGCACGACTATAGTCTGAGAAACATAGATCATGTGAGTTTTATTCTCTCGCATTGCATTCTATGTCGTGAAAAGAACTAAGGTAAAAAGTTTGCATCTAGATTCTGCTTGTGATCCAGGAATATAATCTTGTCTGCCAACATCGTTGGATGCCTAATGGATTATATAGTGGAGTTTGAAAATTAAACAAAAAATGACTAAATTGAATAGTTCTACGAAGTTCGGGTGTTTAACCCAGATCCTTAGAAGTCCAGTCAAGCCCTTTCAATAAGATTTCATGATCTACTTCGTCTGCTTCGTCGATAAACATTCTTAGAATCTGCCAAGGAGAATCGTTAGTAATACTTGATCCTTGTCTTTCTAAATGGGGACTGCTGGTATCTTCAATTCGCTTGGGATTTTGTGGGTTAGGTTCATCACAATTATCTTCGGTTGGGTTCTGATTGGCAGAAGCACTCTTTGGTTTAGGATCCGAACATGCAACATCTTTGTTTCTTTGCTTGTAACTAACGTCATCGTCGCCGTTTGAATCTTCACGATTTAGAGAAAACTGCGAAATGATTCCCGTCTCTTCATCATTTGAATCCGCATCATTGTTGTTTTGTATCTTGCAAACATCGTATTTTGAACCGTTTTTTGGCTTCTCTTCATCGTTTGGCTTCGGGTGTAGGTTTAGATCCAAATCCATAGCATATATGTCTCTGATCTGACCATTGGAGTCGTCATCCGAATTTGAAATCTCTAGAACTGAACTCATCTCTTCATCGTTACTCTTCTTTGCATCTTTATTCTTTATCTTGCAAATAACCCGATCATTCAAATCCTTGCGTTTTAAAGAAAACTCATGCATAACCCAATGCCCATTATCTTTGTTTGTCGTCTGATCATTCTTGGTAGTAAAAGTGAAGTACTTATGAATCCCCAAAACCCGACCCTTTTTGTCCAAAACTTCCTTCGTGCTTCGAGCAAGCCAACAACCTGAACCCTCAGTCCGATCGATTCTTGATTTACTCTTCTTCCTCAACTTGGTAAAAACCCAAAACGGCCATCTGGATTGTGTATCGAAAACATTCCAAGGCTCCTTGTTTTTTCCGTAGATCTTGACGTCGATAAAAGGAGGCAGAGGATCTCCTTTGAGGACTACTGGTATAAGAAACATGAAGAATATATCGTGAATGGTGGGACGAAATTGATATCCGTGGGGTACTGAAGATTGCTTCAACATGAAAAAAATTTGTTGATGGATGAACATCCAACATTGTTGTTGATCTGATTCATTGTCTGTATATATATGTATATAGCACTTGTTCTTGTCGGGTTCTAAGTGATAATGTTCGTTTCCTGGTTGGAAAGCAAGTCCTAAACCCAAGAATATAGATCGGGCTGTAAATCAAGAAAATTAAACCCCAAATTTAAGCTAGGTAAGATTTAAAATAAATGGTTTAATCGAGCTTTTGGAAAATGATCAATATATTATTGTTTTTGCATTCAATTAAGCTTATATACTAGAAAATCTCATTTACTTATGATTCAATCGATATTAATATTTAAATTTTATTTTTTCACCGGTTGATTTCTTATGTCATGTTAGTGTTGTCGCATGATAATTTTAAAAACATTACACCATCTTTTCTACTAAAATTTTCATATATTGATTTTTATGATAATTTTTTAAATTTTGATAATAATTATTTTAAATAATTAATTTTTTTAAGAATCTATATTTAAACATTAATTGATAAGATTTTTAAAAAAATATATATATTCTATCAATAATTAATTTTAATTAAGAAGATAAAGTTAGAGTTGCTGCTAATTCTAGTAGGGCAATGAGAATAATTTTTTTAGAAACCATTCTAGTGGGACAATGAGAATAATTCTTTTAGATTTTTTTAAATTTCATTTTTTAAGTAAATATGTAAATGTCATGTGACAGCTATAATGTGTCATAAGATTTAATGGATAAAATTAATTGATTCAAAAAATTAGTTAAAATACTGATTCAAAAGAATAAATTATTTTTTCAGTATGAAAATTCAGATGAACGTAAAAGAAAATGTGTTATTTAATTGCTGATTATATTACAAGATGTTCCAACAATTACCCACTCTAATGGAAAAGCTCTACCATGTAGACTTCAAGGGGAAGACGCTCGAAAAGCGTAAACCTTCAAGGTAGAAGATGGAGACCTTGTAATTTATTCAAATAATTTGACACTCGTTTCCTATACAAATACAAATTTAGATTATCTTTTTTTTGAATTCAATTTAGATATTGAGAAGTTCAAATTCGATGTTTGAAATTTAATTCGTATCGAAATAAAATTGAACCATTCGAAATACAACTTGATTAAGCATGTGAGCTTGAATTTCTGCCTGGGCTTCTTATTTTGACAGCAAAGCTCAATTAGGCATGGGAGTTGCTCCAGTCAAATATTAAGATACTCGAATTCGAGCTTGCAACTCGAAAATGACCAAGTAACATTCAAGTTTTTTCCTGAATCGCATTCGAATAATTTACGAACACTATTGTTTCATTAACGCCCTAGGTATGGTAACATAAGACCTCCAACGATGCTTCACATACACGAGACATCATACACATGTCGGACACATACTCGTATCGGATACATTCCCGTATCTCCGTATCCAAGACTCGCACCGGCGAAACTCTAGAATTAAACTGAATCTAAAAAAGCACAATTTATGGAAATACATTTCTTTTATTCATCAAGTAATTCAATAATGATGCATTAAGTGCGCAATGATCTGTGGATTGCTATACCACACTTAGAAGAAAATAAATTTATGAAGTTTAAAACCAGACCTGAAAACTTGTCCGATTACAGCCGAGTGAAGCAATTGATCAGTCAAAAACATCTAATGACCAAGAATGTCCCGGTTGTTCCAACTCTGGAATTAAACCGCTGAACCCCAGAGAGTGAATCACTAAGCATTGTTAAAGGATGACTCGATAATCGGGACTACGCTGTAGATACAATGGCAACATCTTTGGAAATGAACTAGACCAGTTCGATGCCTCCAAGTGGAATGGTGCTCTGCAATGTTCTACCATTTCCAATAAACCGAACAGAAGGCAAGGAAGGATCGGTAACAGATTCGATCTCGAGAAAGTTGAAATCATATGCACCGGAACGCTTCAAACTGAAAACAAAAACCAGAGCAATCCATCCCAGCATGGAAACCGCCCAATAATTAGTCATCCCATGAATCAAACCCCAAGCTATAGCATACCCTACAATGATTCCAGATAAATGTCCCAGGAAACTCGCTTGTGGGACGATGATCGAAGTGAAAATCAACGACTCGAAAGGTGCAAAACTAATAGGAAGCGAAACGAATCCAAAAAGATCCAGCTTCGATGAAGGTTGCTTGACGGACAAAATCGTCATCCAGCCGAAAACGACACAAGAATACCCAACAGCGGTCACTCGCCTGAAATACTCGATCTTAAAGCGTTGAATCAAGACATGGTACATTCCCAACACGAGCAAACCCGATAATACAACCAAAACAAGAGTATACTGAAGATAATAAGCAACTCCAAGACCCAAATGCCCTAATTGTTCCACAACACCAAGACTCCAGAGGGCACTCATATTGAAAACAAGATGAATAACACTTATATGCGAGAAAGCTGAAGTAATCACCCTCCAATGGTGGCCTTCGACGGCTGTTTCGTAACTTAAACCGACATGCTGATATCCAATGTTCTTCTTCTGTATGTAAAACCAGATTACACTACAAATTCCTATTACACAACTCGTAGCTGGTTTCTCCAATATCTCATAAATTAATAGCTTCCCCATATCTACAAATCTCCTTCAACTTCCCTATCTTTTGCACTTTATTCAATCAAAGCATCAAAACCCAGAATTTTCTATTAAAATTTCAAGAGCCCGTCACAAAATTCATCAAAAAGATCCTTCTTCAACCCAGATCATGCACAAAACGAAAACCCCAGATCTAAAATACCCAATACTTCTCAAATCCTAATCACTTAAATGCATGAAAAAGGAAAAGAAAAAGGAAGTGGGTTGTTTCAGAGTCCATCAATAGACTAGTTCAAGCAAGAGAAAATGGGAAAAACGAAGGAGGAGATGTGTGATCTTACTTTCTCAGCTCTGTCTGTAAATCGATTCAGGTTCCTCGGTTGCCTTTCTAGATGTTGCTGCTGCTTTCCAACTTTACCAATAGGAGATCAGATAACTATTCCAATATCTCGATTCGGTCGCATAGATTATTAGATTGTTAAAATAAAACCTGGTCGGGTCGCGTAGTGTCTGAGTTAATCCAGAAATTTGGTCAAATTTTGGTTTTGATTAATATTGTATACTCAATTTTAATATATAGTCTTTGGATTTTAATTTTACACAATTCAATCCTCTATTGTTATGATATCATTGATTAACCTAAATAGTTTCTTTTTTTAAAAATAACTTAATCTAAACAGCTTAACACCATTAATTTCATTTTTAAATATCGATTTGTATTTTTTTAAGGATAAGACACAAATGGTCAATAAACTATGATGAAATGGTTTTTTTATCATTATAATTTATTATAAAATTTTAACTAAATTTATCAAATTATTATAAATTAATCACTGCACGTTATGAAATAGTGATAAATATTAATAAGTTTAAAGATCATTTTACAATAGTTTGTTAAGTTATTTTATAATAATTTAATAAAATTTAATAACCATTTTATAACCATTTAAAATGTTTAATGATCATTTTATAATTTTTAAAACTTTAATAATCATAAATCATTTTATTATGATTTAGTGATCATTTATATACATTACTCTTCTTAAAAACATTCTCTCCAATAAAAAAATCACTAACTCGACGATGCTTAGAAGAGATGTATTTGGAAAAAATTCACATCAATATATCTGAAGAAAATAATTAATGATACAGGTTCAATAGAGTTTAATAAGAGAGTTTTCATAATTATTACATTTAGTTCATGGACAATTTAATCTAAATTCAACATCATAAAAATTTATTATGAGAAATACTTTTATAATTCATCTTAAAATTTAATTCTTTAATCTTATTTAAAAATTCTAACGATTATTATTTTTTTAGAATCTTTAATTGACTTTAGTGTTGATTGTTGAAGGATAAGGATATAAATTTTTAAATGTTAAACATTTTTTAAGCATAGATTGCTATATTTTTCCAACAAGTAGAAAAAAATGTGATAATAATTTTTTGCTTTCATTTTATTTAATTTATGATAATTATAAAATAATATTTGTTTAAAATTTTCTTAATTAATTGATAACCATACATATTGTAGAAACAATTGTTTGAATTCAAAACCTCTAAAGAGAATAATATTTGTTTTGAACCAATTAATAATAGTTTTCCTACATCTGTTAAAGTTTGAATTAATGATGATTCATTAAGAGTCTCAACTACCAAAAAGAAAGGAAATAAAAATGGATAAAGCATATATGATTTAATGGCATTGTTTGTACCTAATAATATCCAATTGTAGCATACTTCTACATAATTTTTTTTAAGAATGAGAATTGAATTTTATTAATAAAGATAAAAGAAGAATTTAAAATTATAATACTCTTAAACATAAAAAGAAAAATAAAAAATATAATCACCAAAAAAGTTGGTCAAAATAAAAAAAAAATATTAAACTTAAAAAATAAATTTTTGAGAATTTAAAAATATTTTTTTTAATTAATCACTAATGTCTAATTTATTGACCTACTAATCCATATCATGTAATGCAGAGGTGAGGGAGACTCTTCCAACCTAATTTGTTTCATTCACAAACTTCAGGATTCAAACTCGTGACCTTGCTTAAGGGATTTAATACATCATCCCACTATACCAACTTATTGTTGGTAAATGTAATAATATCTTAATTTCATATGTTACGTTTAACATTACAAATTAGAATTTAGAACATTTTACTTTTTATCTCAAATTTTTAGAAAACAGTTCTAATCAACTGTAACAATTGACGACCTTCGTACTGTTGTCAACACCCTCCATCACATCATCTTCCTTCTCAATTTTATCAAATTTTTTGTTCGACCTCACTTTTTTCCCCTAAACTCATCTCATCTACGTTCATACCATTCTCATCAACGCTAACAAATGATTCGACCACTGCCAACCTCTATTGTATAGATTTATGATTTGATTTATAGATCTAAATTTTATTATTATTATTTATTTAAAGGTTAATTACTCCATTCATATATGAAGTATTTATAATTTTCTGTTTCATACACAATGTTTTAAAAATTTTGATTTCATATATAATATTATATACCGTTAACAAGTACACCTATTTCGATTATGAAAGGTAACATAAAACCCTTAACAAAATATCACGTTGCACTTCGAAAATGGGTGACGGGCATGCCATGTGGCACCCATTTAAAGTGTCACATCATTTTCAGTGACGGAAATGAATTAACCTGTTAACGGTAAAAAATATGAGAATTTTTTAAGATTATATATAATTTTTTAGTAAGTCAAAAATAGGAGATTTTGTTTTATATGGTACAAATTGATAGGATAGTCTTATCTCAAGTAATTTTTTTAAGTTGAGCTTTATTATCAATTATTTTAATTGATAGGTTAATTATCATAATTGTTTAAATAATGTCGATTATTCATAAAGACTTAGATTTAGGAGTAGTAATCTTTCAAAATTGATTTTTATATGAATGAAGTTCTATATATAAAAAGAAATTCTAAAACAATCTAAATCTAAACCGAAATTAAATAACTTAGGAACACAGATATAACTCCTAATCCAACCAAGTGATAATGGTAAAACATGAAACGTCGAAAGCAATGTAAGCGCTCTTTATTTACTTATTTTCTCTTTAATTTTCGATTATTCCTATAGCTTAAGTTGTAAGACCCGCCGTGCTATGGAGACAACTTCTATTTTTTTTTATTTTTTTGTAGCACTTAACCCCTATAAATAGGTTTCAATACTCTCTAAAGGAAATCAAACCAAAATCTATAAATATAACAAGAGTTAATACCTGGTAGCAGCGGATCATCAATGGCTAGACTTAACATCAAAGCATCGGTTCTCTTTAACTTCCTTTTGCTTTTATCTTTTCTTCTGATAATCACCATGGTCGAGAGCAAGCTCCTGAACGGTAAGTAGTTATAATATACAAAATCCTTTTAATGATTCATGTTTAATCTTCAGCTTGTGTGTGTGTGTGTGCACGTGCATGTGTGTGTAACTGTGTATGAATGTGGTTACAATGCGAGAATAAAGGGAAACAGTCGCAAATACCAAGACCGGAAATATCTGATTTGCTCAAAGTGGTTGTATGAATCAACTAGACTAAATACGGAGTTCAGCCTTTGAATCTTTGTTGGCGGTTATGATTAACTTGTGGTGCCGTTTTTGTGCAGTTGGGATGGGAAGGGTGAAAGTCCAGGAGGTGAAACAACCAAGGCTAGCTTGTGTAGGCATCTGGTGCCCAAGGAAGAGACACTAATAAGCTGTGGATTCATCAGAGTACTTTGGGTTTTTCTGGGTACAACCGTACAAGTAATAATAATTCCACAGTGGACTATATATAGAAAATAAGCAGTGTTGAATAAATTATATCACATGTACTACAATTCTCAGCCACTAAGAAAGTAAATTCAAAACAAGAAGCAGATCGTACTTAACATGAGCCACTAGCTAGTTTACACAAAAACTAATTGGGATTTGTATTGGTTCCTTGCTAATAAACTCCATGCTTCTAGTAATGCAATAACACACACACACATTATAAATCATATGGAACTTGTCATTTCTATACAAGAAAAAAGCAGTGTGACTCATTCAAATACAAGAAAAAAATAAAAATAAAAAATAGACAAAAAAAGATAAAGTTACTTGTTGTGGGTAGTTTTGTTCATCATCTGAATGTGTGAATAATTTAAGAAAAAAAAAATAGCATTCTCTATCTTTTATTTTATAGATTTGCTAAAACTCAATTCAGGTTTTTTGTCATTCCACCAACTAGTTCTCAACCAAATTGTATATAAGGGTAACTATTAGATTACCCCTATACTTATTCCCCGTTTCAAAATTTCCCATGGTATCACATTAAAAAGTTTTAAAAGAAAAATGAAGCATTCACGTTTGACTACATATATGTACTCCTGTAAATTTTTTAGAATACTGCAGTCAACTCGTACTTGCATAAAATTGAATGGTAACAGCTCAGTTTCCAAATCATGAGGGACATAGTTTGAGATACTGCACCTCTAACATGCTTCCATTAAGGAAAGTTTCCTTTTGAGGATCTCATTTTCCATTCCTAGTTTCATAATCTTCAGCTTGAGCGTTTCAACTTGCCGACTAGAAGCTGAATCTTGTTGTTCGCCAAGCTTCATTCTACTGATCAATACTGCAGCAAACTCATTATAATTATATCAATGGCGTTACATGCAAGGATATCAGAAATTCTTAGAAATGCAAGAATATCCTAGTTTCTAATGCAATGAAGCTGAGTTCAGCTAACTCAAACTCCACTAAGATTTATAGAAACCCCCATCATAGTGTTCAACAGGGATCCTGGATGAAAGCTCAGGAGAGGCCAACTAAGAAAGTAATAAAATGAAATTCAGGGTCTAATTGTTAAACTACGAATTTAAAATGTAAACATTGGGAGGTTGGGGTCTAATTTGACTAATTTCAAAATTGACAAGGACAAAGGAAGAATTTAAACCCAAAAATGGAGGCCAAGCTTAATTTATCTAATTTTAAGTTAACGTGGACCTAAGAAATAATTTAAACCTAAAAATTGGGAGGGGCCGGGCTTAATTTTCTTAGCTCCGTCACTGCTGTTCAGAAAGGGTTTTGCTTAATTAGGCTACATAGAGAATTTCAACAAAACCCCACTCAGAGACTTGTTCTTTTTGGTTCAGATTCTACTTAAATAAATTAAAGGAATCTTATTTTACGTTGTAAATAGCATCTGTCCAAGCAAGTAGAACTAATGATATATGAACTGTTTGAATGTTGAAAAGCAATCACAAACTCACATTACTTTTCAGCCTCCTGCAGTTTTTTAATCAACTCATTTTGCTCTTCTTGTTCAACCATCAGACAATCTTTCAAGTCCCAAATATCGAGAAGATCTGTCAATGTATATTTAGCATCTACAATATCATGGCACAAACTGGTTGGAACATGCTTCA